CTATTACTTTTGAGGTAGGGTTTTTTTCTTCAACAATGATTACCAACTTTGACACTGCTGCTTGATACTGCAGGTGAGAGGAGAAAACCTTCTGCAGACAGTGAGAGAAGTTCAGATGATAATACTAACTTCACATCATTAATCACATGAGTGGCAACATGGCTCTGCCTTTCTCACAGGTTGGTATTATGCATTGCCCTATTCTTTGCTACCATCACTTCCTAAGTCACTCACTCTGAATGAGTTAGAACAGACATGTCAAACTCGTGACGTCACATGACATATTGGAGCTTTTTCTCCATTGCCGGCAATGGGGTGGGTGCGGTTTTGGGATGACGCATCCGGCCCACGGGCCAGCAGTTTGACTCCCTGATTTAGAACAATGTGGCTAATTATAATGAAACAAACCAAAAAGGAGAGAACTATACTTATATATATATATTTTTATTTTCAAATAGCACATAAAGATTCTGTTTTCAGCCAGGTCTATAATAGGTTCTCAGGCTGTATTTATATGACAAAATTATCCACTCACTAAATACTTGTTAGTCCAATGTATTGTGAACCCAGAAACCTCTCTGTTAAATATCAGGAGAGAGACCTGTTTAAATTGAAATTACCTTTGAATTTTTTCATAGCTCTTCCCATAACTATTTTGTGCGGACTTAGAATACTATCACTTCTGACTAATGGCCCTTCATGGCTCAATTAGTCCACCAAGGAAAGAAGGAAGCAAAAATAAAAAATATGAGGGCATAACCTCAAACTGAGTTAAAAAATAACATTAGGGTGGCGCAGCAGTTAGAGTGCAGTACTTCAGGCCACTTTAGCTGACTGTGTTCAGCAGGTCAGCGGTTCAAATCTCACCGGCTCAAAGTTGACTCAGCCTTCCATCCTTCCGAGGTAGGTAAAATGAGGACCCAGATTGTTGGGGGCAATGTAAATATATATATACATTGCTTACTGGTGTACACGGCTTAGAGAGTGCTTGCACTTAAAGCAGTATATAAGTCTCATAAATAAATAAATTAGAGTGGAGTTAAAAAGTAACATTAGAAAATATTACCTCACAGAAAGAGTAGTGAAATCTTGGAACCAGCTTCCAATGGAGGTAGTAGGTCAATCATCAGCAGCCTATGGGTCTTTTTCTGCTATCAATTTTCTATGTCTCTATAAGTTGTACCTGCTGAGTGGCCCAAATACAAAGTGTTTGATTATAAAACTCATTGCCAGCATCCAAGCAATGCCTCTGCTGACTTCCTGGCCAAAATGGAAGGGACATTGACGTAGTAAAGCTTTAACAGTATTTTTCTGGCACAGGGCTATGATAGGGCAAGGCAGGAAAAGGTCAGAAATCTTTCATTCCTCCAACTGGCTATCCTTGACTCAGCATAATTGTATACTGCTAGATCAGACAATAAGGAACTATGAGTGGGTTAAGCAGTTGTGCAGTATCTCCAAACTGCTCCATACTGTAGATTGCTAGTGGCCCACTGAAGCCCACAAGATTGTCCATCACAGTTTCCCGATGTATTCTAGCCAGGGCCCACTCACAAATTCAGTTCCCACTTCTCACACTCACCATCTATCTAGTCAGCTGGCTATACCACAGCCAGACACCAATGCATACCATGTTTCTGGGTTCAGCCCCATTCAACTTGTTGACAAAATGGATCAGTGGCTGAAAATTAGTTTGTTGACATTTACAAATGATACAATAAGTAACAATAAATATACTAAGACAGTAATGAACAAGTTTCAGTATCTGGAAAGCCACATTGCTGTACTAAGTAGACTGCAATTTTGCACAAGCAACCCATTAAAAAAAAGTGCAAACAGGGAATACAATGAATATCTAACAGTGACATTTCACTGTGCTTAGCCCCATAGTAACCAGAAAACTAGTTACCAGAAATTTCTGTTGAACAATATTCCTGGCCAAGTTAGTGCTAAGATGTAGTGACTCGAGGCACATTAAATAATTCCAGCAATAATTTCTTAATTCATCTTTTTTGCTATGAAGTTACTTTAAAATGGTCTGAAAACAGGAAGGAGATGGGGAGGCACATAGAATGGATTTATAATCATATTGATTACAAAAATGTGAACTTGCAAGCATTTTAAGATGAGAGTGTTGAGAAGCATGATCCTCACATTTTCCATTTTTTTTTTTTTAGTGATTCAGGTTTACACTGATGTAAACACAGGGGTTTCTTCTCAACACTTGATATTTTTCTTTCAATCTTCTGTAAACTTCCTGTCCTAAGGATTATTTGTGCTGCTAAAAACCTTTTTTGTGCATGCTTAGTCTCTCTAATGTAAGAAATCCTAATCAACAGGTGACTATTAAAAGGAACAATATTCAGTGTACTTAAGCCAAAAGGGCCCTAGATTTTCTCAAATGGTATGTAGGAAAATACCCAGTTCTGTTCTGCCAGTAAATCAACGAGCTGCATGAATTAGAGCAGGAAAAACAAAGGTTTTTGTAAACTTATGGTTCTAACAGTTGTCTTCTTTCCCAGGTCTGCAGCATGACAGCCGACTGTGACCAGATTCATGAGTATGTGACAGCACCTGCTTCTCCAACATTAGCCACCCCTTACCTTTAGGGTTAGAGACCACAGCCATTTAAGCTTCAGAAATGGTATCAACAAATATGAGCTGAGAAAAATCTCAGGAAAAAGTGGAAATGAGAACAGCATATAGGTGGAATGTAACGATTCCTGTAAGTAGTTTAGCAGGATAGTATCCTCACTATCTCTGTTACTATCATTGGGGGAAAATATAAAGGAAGAGGGCACACAGGCTTTCTTTCCTACTGGACATGCCACTCCATTAGTGTGGTCCAGAAGAAGTTTGTGTGTGCAACATCATATTGTACTATATACTCCGTGTTCATCTGCATCTGTACATTATCCAAATCAGCCCTAGACATACTGGTACTATAAACAGCACCAACAGGGTTTAGGCTGATGAGTCTGAAGTGCAGATCATGGCATAAATTACCTTGTCATTTGTAACCTGTGAATAAATGGGCTTTTGACCCTATTGATATTCTGACATCAAATCAATTGACAAAAACAGAAGAGTTGACATCAGATCTCTGGGAGAAATAAAATTTAGTTCCTTTGATATATAGCTTAAAGCACATACAGGAGATGGAGGGAGATAAAGAAAAAAAATACAAGTTTTAGTAGAGATGTCCCCAAAATGTGGCCTTTATGCATCTTCTTGATCAGGCTCAAAACTGATATCATTGAATGCTTAGAAGTGGTTTTGAAGTCTGTTTTTCCAGCTGTTTAGCTGGTAAAGATCCAAAAGTAGCACTACTAACATTTCATGGGCGGACACTTCTAACAGTGGCAGGTCCACAAATGTATTCCTGAAGAGTTACTGCAATTTTATTGTTCTTCAAAGGAGAGGCAGTATTTGCATGTGAAGTAAAATGAAAAGATTTATTCTGCCTCTGTGGGACACCGTTGCTTCTGTTTATTTTTTTAAAGAGTTCTCTGCTTTTCTCTAATTTAAACTTGCTGAATTAAAAATAAATTATAGCAAAATAAGTTCATATAAGATTGGTTGTTTCCTTAATATTGTGATTTATCATTATCTGAAGCCTCTATTTGTTACATCAAAAGCTCATCCACTCTCCAGTGTGACATGGCTCTAACAATGATGTAGTCTCTCATTTTGCATAATTTAAAATTGGATGCTGGCAAGAGTCTGGACAACATAAATGTAGCATGTCCAAATACAAACTTGATTAGATGTATTGATTTCAAGACTACCTATCAAAAATGTGTTTAGCTGTGGGGGCATAGTGGAAACTAGCAGAAAAAGCATATTTAGCTTCACACACTAGATCAAAAAACAAACAAACCACCATGCATTTTACTGTATTATATAAAAATCTGGACAGCCATTTGATGGCAGCAGAGATTGTTCTTTGTTCCCCTGTAGTGTTCATCTGGGTTTTGTACCCCAAATCTGATACCACTACATTATGACTTAGTGTGATTATGATGCAAAAAGAATCATGACCTTAGACATAACAGAATGATGGCAGAATACAGAGACCATGCAAGAGTAAATCTGCTAAGATAATTAGCGGATAGCTACCTTGCACCAAGTCAAGTTTCCTTACAGAAAATACAATTCAGGTAAATCAAGATATGTTTGGGTAAACAGCCTTGTGGGCTCAAAGGGAATCTTAACATTAATTTACCCATTGAAATAAAAATTTTCTGGTAGTTTAGAGAACACAAAAAGGAAAAAAAATCTGTTCCTGTCTTTTGTCCTCAAGTTCCTAGGAAGAAGCAATAGATTATTTTACATCAAGCACAAGATCATACTTCTTTAAAAATATAAACATACTTATCTGGGGTTATAAATGGGGAGCTACATGAAGAAATATTTATTTATTCTGCATTGAGGGATAAGGTACAATTATGGTTATAGTCTTAGGTCATGCAAGACTGAAAGCCAGCAGTAATTATAATCTTGCTTCCTGAAAAACCCCACGCAACCCGTAACTTGCGAGGCCAGTTATGTTGGTATCTGCCCCTGGGGCACTGTCCTTTTGCTTCAGCAGACTCCGGTCAGATGGGGTCAGTTACATAAAGTGCAGAATGTACAGATACAAGGCAACAAGAAGTGGTTGTATTCTTCCATCCTTGAAGCAGCTGCTATTAATTCTAGGTGTGCAAACTGACAGCTCACATATAGAAGGAACAAGTTTTAGTTTCAGTCCCACTGATACATGGATACATAGACACATCAAGAGGCAAGAAGACACTTCTAGGACAATTGCAGTTCCCAGTCTCTCCTGAGCTCGGTAAAATGGAAGTAGACAGTTATTCAGGCTGTGAAAGCTTATGTCAACTATTGCATGCAATTGCATATTAAGTTCTACCTTTTTGTTTTTAATCTCCCAAATCCAAAGACTGATTTGGAATTTAGTAAAGTTAGCAGGAGACAAAATGATTTAAAGAATTCCTTACTTTTTTTTTTTTTTTTTTTTTGCATGTATACAATTATCAATTCCCCTCCAGGTAATTTTCCATATATATGGAAAGATAACAATATTTATTCTTTCTCCTATTCACAATGAGCAGTTTTGGAGAGGAAAGGGGATTTTAAGCATAAAAATGATAATGCGGAAAAGTTAAGCAGTGCCTCTCTGCCCAACCGTCTTGGCTATTCTTTTCCCCTAACAGTGATAGCTTGTGTCTTAAAAACAGTTAAAATACTATGGAAGTGACATATATGCAATGCCCAATCTCAGAGTTCCTAGATTTTGGTGACTGCTTCATAGATGGACTTAGCAACATAATCCAGGTTCTTTGTGGTCAAACCACACATGTTGATACGGCCACTAGCCATCAGGTAGATGTGTTTCTCTTTGATCAGGTATTGTACTTGCTTAACTGGAAAAGGAAAAAGACAAAATGTCAGGAGTTCTCACCAGAAACCTCAAGCAACTTTTGCTATATTTCATGTTTGACCTAGAAACATCCACAAGATAGGATATAAAAGGCAAGCTGGCAGGTCCCATTTTTTTTCCATACCCTGTGGACACTTCATTTGTTCAATAAGAAATAAACCGTCATGCAGAGAAAATATAGTCAACATTTTCCAAGTGAAACATAAGCTTGTTACTAACTTTCCAAAATGGATGACATGACTAGACTTATAGTGGGGTAGAGGCATGACAATTCATGGTAAAAGTACAAAACCTTCTGCCAACCCTTCAGTTTAGCCCTGGTTGAGAAACAGATGTCCTAGGGAGAGTCCCTTGTTTCAGAGTACCTCAACAGAATCTGGAAATCCTTTCCCAAACCTTCATTTTTAAGAGCAACAAGGTCAATACAGGGGTGTTCTGGATCGCTTTCTCATGCTTTATATTTTCCCAGGATTAGCACCTGTCCCTTCTCCTTAAGTGCACAGTTAAATTCCTATGCAGTTCTTCCTCTGGGCACCCTTAATCACCTATCCCATCCACTTGCCCCATTGTACTCACTGTTGAGGCCAGTAAAGCTAAACATGCCAATCTGCTCTGTAATGTGACGCCAAGTGCCTGGTGTGCCTAGAGCCTCAAGCCGAGACCGGAGTTCTGCCCGCATCTGCAAGACCCGATCTGCCATTGTCTTCACATTGTCCTTCCTGCCACAGAATGCGAATGACAAGAATGGTGACTCACAAAATTAAGATTTAATGGCTACTTTTTGTCACATTGTTCTTACCGCTCAGCAAAAAGGTACCATTCTGTTCTTACCACTCAGCAAAAAGCTCTGGTGTGGTGAGTGTCGTAGCCACAATTCGTGCTCCTTGAGATGGTGGATTAGACCAAGTAGTACGGACAATCTTTTCCATCTGTGATAGGACACGCTTCACGTTATCCGCATCCTTTGCCACAACGGTCAGATTTCCCACTCGTTCATCTGAGGAAAAAGAAAAAGTGCAACCATGAACTGAGAAACCAGTCCTGCTCTTCCCATAACAGCAGTCCAAAGGAATTGCCCCAAAGTGGCTCATAGTTTAATGCAACATAAAATACAAAGGAGGACCCAAAATCTTCCAATTAAGTAACAGATCCCATGAATACTCACTGTACAAGCCAAAATTTTTTGAGAAGGATTGGGCACAGAAGAGTTCAAAGCCCTCTGATACAAAGAAGCGTACAGCCCAGGCATCTCTATCCAGGCAACCTGAGGCAAAGCCTTGGTAGGCAGAGTCAAAGAATGGGAACAGGAACCGGCGCTGTAAGAATGGAACAGTAAGAGGTGTAGGCGTTAGGCCTGCTCCACAATATCCTCGATTGCCTCTTGGGAAATGAATCTTCACAGGCCAGTTCTGTGGATTCCTTTGTTATCAAGAAGTCAAATGCACGACAAGCATTTTGGAACATAAAATGCATCTGTCTTTTAGTAGTATCAGAAGAGTTAGTACCTTCATAACAGCAGCAATTTGTTTCCACTGCTCCTGAGTGGGGTCTGTGCCAGTGGGATTATGAGCACAAGCATGGAGGATGAAGATGGAAAACTCTGGAGCACTCTGGATAAAGAAAGTAAAAGAACTGGAGTTGCTGAAAGTCAAGGCTAAATAGGTTTCCATGTAATCTTGCAGGTAGTATAGCAGTATTAACATCTTGCTCATAAGTGGGAAATGTACTAACATCAACTTCAGAAGATCAGTAAGGATTAGGGTCAAAGAGAAACCAAAACATATTTTAGAATTTCCCTGCATCAATTCGGTCTCGTCTGTAGAATTCTGGAATTTACCATAGATTTTGGGGGATGGTTGATTGGTAGCATGAAAAATATAGTTTAAAAATGCTTCAAAAGTACTATGCTTTCTCAGGTTGTTTCCAGTACTTGGAATTCATATCAGTAGGAGAGAATCCAGAATGGAATAATGCAAGTATACTATCTTTCTGGCAATTGTTCAGTTTAACTATTCGGCAACAATTCAATGTAATAATGCTTCACTGACCTCTAGAGTATGCAGCTACTACAAATAATCTACAAAGGAAGGTGCTCTATGCCATGCTCAGCCTTATCGGGTGTTCTTTTCATATTGCTATCTAATTGCCCCCACCCTATAGGATAATCTGACGTACCTCCAAATCAGAAAGGAATCCTTGAATGTCCAGACCTCTATTTGCTGCATCCCAGTAGTGATAGTTCCGGATGTCCTTGAAGCCAGCATCCGTAAAGACAGATTTATGGTTTTCTATGGAAAAAGAAGGTTCAAGCTAGGTTGCCTTATATTAGGGAAGTATTCCCAAATCCCAGCAATGGCTATGCTGGAAATCATTTGAGCTGAAGTCCAAGCATCTGGACACATCATTGGAGAAATAGGGATTTTTTTTTTTTTTTGCTCCACTCCAAATCAAAAATATTACCAGCTTTCTGAACTCACCCCAGGAAGGATCAGAAATATAGATAGGGGTAGCTGTGTTGTTGGTTCCATTATACCACCGTCTCAAAAACTCTGCTCCAATACGGAGAGCTCCAGTGCCCCCCAAGGACTGGACACCTCCCACCTGGAATAGGAAAGAAATATGAGTTGTAAGGTGACCAATCATCCTTCCTTTCAAGTTACCATAAGATCTGATACAATCGAATATCTGTCGAAACTATTTGTTTCAACTACATACGCATTTCTCTCAAAAAATGTGTTTTTAGAATTTATTCTCTAGTATCAATAAAATCATTTCATTAAAACTGTATTATTTCCCTTTTGTTTGGCAGCTGTATGATCATATTCAGTTGTGTCAAAAATGTAGCTGGGCTGGGTAGTTGATGAACCAATGTTTCATAGACCCCTAAGAGGCCAACAATGATTGGCAACAAACATTTATTTTCCAGCCTCATGCTTACCCTGCTCTCTTTGATGGCTGGGCTATCCTCTCCTAGTGCAATTCGTGAGGAATTGGCACGGAAATCTGGCAAACCCAGAATAGGTAGATATTCATGATTCAAATCGATGTTCTTGGCAATCATCATTTCTACTTTCCGGACAACTGGCAATACCCATGGCTGTCCTTCATTTGTGCGATAAGCTGAAGAAAAGAATAGAATTATCTTAACAAATGCAAGGATACATCATCATCATCATCATCATAGTGGAGGTAAGTGAGAGAGAATGCAAGGCACCCTCTTCTTATTCTGGATTGTTAGTTTTCACTTTAAAACCTTTGAAGAAGAATAGTTGCTGTCATTTAAGACTAGCAACAATGTAGGAACAGTTCCACCCACTATTTGGAGAAACATTAAAATAAAGTTTTAATTTAAATTAAAATTTTAATCTTCATGGAATCAAATTGTTAGTCTGTTACAAATAAGAGATCTGGGGAGCTCCAATAGGACCTTTGGGGCAAAAAACCTTAAGTCAAAAAGAAATGTCTTGATTGTTAGAAACAGATTAAAATCACAAGGATGCACAATGGAGCAAGTAACTACAGTTGAGAAATATTGCAGGGAATATTAGTTCAAAGAGAACTAAAGAAATTGCTTTAAAGTAGAATATTTTGGAATGACTTCGGCTATTCTATAATGATCAACCAAAGGATGAAAGAAAATGTGCAGGTTTAATACAGAGGCAAAAACTACTGTTTAACAAACTGAGCTGCTCATTCATCTTGGACTTTATTTTCTGGTGCAAAGTCTCCTTTTCCTTTTCTGCAACCCTCAGGCAGTAATCTCTCAAGGCCCTGCACTTTGGCTCAACCAGTACTTGGATATCAGCCTAGATCTTTGACAGCCATATCCCAGTTAGAGTATCTGGCACTAGAAGTCCACATACTATACCCATAATCATAGCCACCAAAAGCCTCTTCCTCTTTCCTCATTGTTGGACATTTGTCTGTATCCAGGGAATTCAAAAAGTCTCCATAACATTGCTGGTTAAACATAATTACCAGTAGTATTGCTGAATCATACAGTATGCCTGCAAATTTCAGGTGAGAGCTTTACCATGATCCCATCTATATTTAAACCATCTCAAAATCATAAGCAATACTATAATCACAATTCTGTATCTTTAATTATTAACTATAAAGACCCATTTCCAAGTGGCAAAGCAAAAATATATCCCTGATAATAAGTGGTACTGAAAACATCAATAGAATAAGAAAGTTGCATGGAAAATCATACCAAAATGCATAGGTTTTCATAATTAAGAGCCATAAGACTGTGCCTTGAAAATTAATGCAGGCATTAGGTAGACTCTAATTCTGGATGCCCTTTATGAAGCAAAGGACACTAATACTGTCCTCTGTGATCACTGCTTGTTACAAGTCTTCAGGCAAATCTGACCATCCATTACTCATTCTGCAGGATCCTTTAAGTCTAATCAACGTATTGCAAATACTTCTCTACTAATATTTCTCAGGAAATCCAACATAAATGAGACCAAAGAAAAATACGGCACAAAAAAGAATGGAAATTACACTAATCCTCATGAGTTATCAATTTATGTACTTTGGGTTCTAATTATCTGGATCAATAATTATCCAGCTCCCGTATACTACTGGGAGCCAGTTAGGTATAGAAATTGAGGTACCTTAGCTGGCCCTGCCTCAGGCAGAAAACCAGCTGAGTGACACCAGGCCACTCCTCTCTGTCCTAAGAAGGAGGCAAAGGCAAATCCCTCCTAAAATCTTGCTAGGAAAACCACAAGTTGTCCAGCAGCTGCCTGGAATCAAGTGACTTAAAGGCATCCCCACACACAAAGCACCCTCTCTTCTATTACTGTACTACGGTACTAATTACTTTTCAAACAGAAGAGGAATATATCTTGGTAAATGTATGTGAAGATACCGCACATTAAAAATCCAAGTGCTTCAGGCCATAAAGAGTGTAAATTGTCAAGCCAATATAAATGCCTGTTCGGCGTGAAGAACGAAATGAATGGAGTTTATTCGTAAATTATCGCCTCTTCTTCTCTTCTTGGGCCCACTTTCAATCGGGACTGAGCTTCCAAAAATGAGGCGAAGAACGCATCACCTGTTGGCTGTTCGCTTCACTGAAACCGATCAAAACTCAGCGAGGGCCTATCAGAAACTCGAAGAGGGGATCCTGGATCCTAGGACTCTGCGAAGGACACGTGCCCGTGGGTTTCTAAAGTGGAAAACGTGATCTGGGGGGCAGAAAAGGCACGTGCGCTCTTCTCCTCTCCCCTCCTTCACTCTCTCACCTCCCACTCCGAGATTGACCTTGCGAGGATCCTCGTCACTGCGAAAATCTTCCGTGAGCTGGAAAACCGCCACTGGGGCAGCCTGGGGAACGGCGGCAAAGACAGATCCTGCTCCGGGAACCATGGCGGAGGAGCCCCAAGCAGTAGCAGCAGCACCAGCTGCAGCTCCCCAAAATGCAAATTCGCTGGCCGCCTGGAGGAGATGTTCACCTTCACCGGCGGAGGCGGAGACAGCCGCCCACCAATCCGCACCTGTCTTGCTCCTCCACCTTGGCAGGCAAGGGCACGCACTCACCAATCAGGCAGCGGCTCTCGAAGGGCGCCGAGCCTGCGCAGCGAATCACCCGCGACTTCAGCCTGCCGGCCGGCTCCACCAATCAAATGTTACAGAGAATGGAAGTGGGCGGTTCACCCAATCGGCGTCCCTTCAGTTATATAAAATGAATGGTTACGCATGGGCGAGCGAGGCTGGGTTGCTTATTGGCGGAGGAGTGAACGGGAGTGACCTGGAAGAGAAGAGATAAGATAACCTTTATTGTCTTTTTTTTTTTTACTGTGGGCACAATGGCACACATAAAAAATGAAATTTAGTTGCCCGCTTTCAAAGTGAAACACATACATGACACATATCTAAACATACTATATACAACATATGTATAGACCCACATCCCTACACATACATAACAAATAAATATTAAATATTGTCCATCTTGAATATATAACGGACGGAGGAAGCTTGAGAGTTCACCAAGACGGGCTTGGAGGGTTGTTCGGATTCCTGTGGAGAGGAAGGGGCGGTGTATTTCATCAGAAGGCCCCTCCAAGAGATAGGATCTAACTGCCACTTCTCTTGAAGAAGAGAACGCTCATGAGGGAAACGAGGCCAAGTTCACTCAAAAGTGCTTTTTTAAAAATGGCAACTGGACTGTTTTTTCCTTGGAAGAAGAGCAAAACGTTTTGTTTCTCATCCAAGAAATTTCATCAGTTGTGATAATGATGAAAATAATGATGAATAATGAAAACTGAGAATCTCCTCAGGAGGCCAGGTTCACTTCTGACTATCTGAGTAGCAGGCAAAAAATAGGTTGCAAATGCAAACTGAACTGTCAGCACCAGCAGTCCTCACATCAGGAAAGGCCATTGCGTCTAATCCTTGTCATGTCTCCATTTGAACATATCCATCTCAGTTTAATAGTGTTTCTCAAACTTGGCTTAAAATTGCCAAGTTTGAGAACCACTGCCTCTAACAGAACAATCTTGAAAATCATAGCCCAATGTCCATTGAAACAAAATAGTCTTATCAGCTCCCCAGAAAGTAAATAAGTAAAGTATCAATTGAATCTTAAGGCAAGTATTTCAAAGCAAGGGGGCATCCAATGAAAGGACTGCTTTTGAGACTACATCCTCTTGTGGAGTTAAATCACCTGCATCCCTTGTCTGGATACTTGGGCAGCGGGCAGATCATACTACAGAGAACTGTCTGAAATTCTTTGAATATTATAATCCCAGATAACTTCATAAAATATTTCCGAAGTCATTCATATAATATCTAAACTCAAATGAATATAAATTATTTTACCCGCAAAGAAGCATGTCCTAACAACCTGAGGAACATTGGCATATCAATTATTTTCCTGGAGAGCAAGTCACTGAATAGGCCCACCAGAAAAGAATCTCTCCACGGAATAAGTGTAGAGAAATAAGCACCCTTTGCTGTTTTTTATCATCACAGTGCAGGTCTGAACACGGGCTTGTACTTGAGTTTTGTTGTATTCACTCTTCATCTTTTATCTTTGTTGCTCTAGGCTTCTCTTTAACTGTTTGATTTCCTGGAGCTCACTCAAGCCAAGGGGCACCCTTGCTATTAGCTATTGAGAGAGACTTCTCAAGAACAATTCTATCTAAAGTACTAGCCATCTATATGTTGCAAAAAGTGACCAGGCACATGAGAGTTCTGCCCATCAAGTCACTATGAAAGTCTTCAAGTACCCATAAAACTTGTTTTATCAGGTGCCAGTGGCAGATCATCCTAACTGGTCTGCCATGCTTATGGAAGTCAAGGATGTTAACAATGTGTCCACCTTTTCCAGGAAATGATCTGACTGTGGCATAGGTAATGTCCTATGTCATCTATCCAAATAAATACAGATCTACTAAGTAACCACCTTGATGGCTTGAGGCTGAAAAAACTGAAAACTAGCCAATGATTGCAACAGAGATAATGCAGTCCTGAACACATCTGGTCTCCATTCTCAGGGCATAGCAGTTGAAGGCCCCCAGTACTATAAGACTGGATCAGCTCAGGAGGGACATCAGTGGGGAGCAGGATGGATGGCATAGCATCAGCAACCCTAGCTTGTTCCTAAAAATAAAGGTTGTTTACATTCATACACACTGTCTGAATGTGAATACAGTAGAAATGTAAAAAAAGATCTGAATGTGAAAAGATTTGAATAGAATCTATTATCTGAAAGAAGATTGGAACTATCCTTCTCCCTAATTTCAGTACTGTGGATGCCAGAGAACATGGAACCATATAGCTTTCAGACTCCCAAGCTTATAGCTACTCCAGCCAAGACTCTTCACTTAAGGCATCCTGGCACCCCCTTAGGACAGAAATAGCGTATGTATTCTGAGACTGAGATGGCTAAAATCTTATACAGGGTTTCTATACTTACACTTTTTCTGTGCTTCCAGGCATGTTCTATTCCTTCCTAGATATCCTGGCCTTCTTCAGTTATCTTGTTTTTCATACTCCAGTGTTAGCTATTTCATTATGGCTTTGTAAAGGGAAGGACAATCTACCAGGCTATATGTTGCTCATCAGCCTGGTTTTTTTTTTTACTAGCTGTCAAATATGACTGAAAGCAAACTCTTTAATACTGGCAGTGTGGTTTTCTCTGGGAAAGCAACAAATTAAAAGAAACTAATTTTATAACATTTTTAAAAAGCCTCATCTACTCTCACCCACTGGTATTGAAAAAGGACTGAAACTATCTACTTCTCTTCCTATGATGTCATCATCAGATATTTTCAATAACAACAGAAAGGAGGATTTTTAAGCCTTTTAAAAAGTTTCTCCTCATTATAAAGTCCATCTGCCCCCAAGATAGACTTTGGTGTAGACCAGACTCTTTTGGACTCCAGTCTTGATTTCTAATCCATTTCTTGAGCCATTTGGAAAGAAAAATGATATATGCACTTTCGTTAAGAAAGACCGCAGAGGGAGGCTGCAATCAATTACAAGTAACTTTCAAGAACTAATTTAAACAACAAGTCTCTTATACAGATCACTTCCTAAATCAATGCAATGCTCAATAATTTATTCCAATAAATATTGAATCAATGCACGGTAAATGTCTATTTCTGTTTGAACAACAGTATAAAACTGTTTATTAATGATGTTTTTCTGCATCCAGCTTCATCCTGAAGATGGATGGAAGATTTTAAATAAACGTTGGAAACTTTTTGTTTTCCTGGCAGATGTTTTACATTGCAAGCAAAAATTCGGCAGGAGCCCCCAGTCTCCCTGAAGAAACTGTAAGCAAGAAAACTTCAACCTCCTGCCTTTCACAAAGAGAAAACAGCCCTGCACAAAAAGAAGGAAGAAAACTTTTCTCCACTTCCTGATTTCTGTTTTGATTCAATTTAGGGCTAAAACTGGGGGTTTGAAGAAATAGCTATTTTTGCAAAGAACTGCAAAGCTGAAGTCCTAGCTTACAAATGACAAATTAATGATATGAAAAGATATGGCTGAAGTGATTTGATGCCAATTTCAGTGCCTATATATTTTGCACATTACATATAGAATCCATTTTTGGCCCACTCAGTTTCATTGCTGCTTTGGTTACCTGTCTTTTCTGGGCATTTTTTTATTACAGTAAAATTTAATTATTAAGAAAAAGTATTAAGGGAAGGAAGGATAGAGAAAAGAAAATCAACAATTCAAAACTGGAACATTCCGGAAAAGTCTGGCATACTCTGTTCCTTTTTTCAGGGTGGGGAGGTAGTCATCCTACTCTTAGGATGGTTTGATAGTTTCCAGAAATAAATCAGAAATTGCTTTTGATTTGGAAATTACTATTCCTTTCCAGAATGGCATGGAAGTTCAGTGTGATCTGGTAGAGGAATATATTGATTCAAGAGTATATAGCTTTCAAATTCCCTATTCCAAAGTTCATGAAAATTATAATACACTTTGTTTTTTTTAAAAAAAGTGGGTTTGGATAGTGGTCATCTTAAAGATTATGTGAAGAACTTAATTATTATATTGTAATGCTGTTGACAGCAAATGTCATTGTATTATTAGATTTTATTGCTTTTAATCATTCTACATTGGCTCATGTTGATATTGCTTTGGTATATTGATTACAGTGCTTTGAAATTGAAAAACTAATTATAAAATAATTAGTTTTAATAGAAGAGAATGTATGTAGCTCAGGATTGATCTGTGGAGTCCTTATTGTTCTCTGAGCTTGGTTGCTTGTTTGCAGATGTTCCAATGCTCAACTAAGCAACATTATAAGTGCACCTCTGAAAGCAAGCAACCAAGCTCAGAGAGCAACAAGGACTCCAAAATAATTAGTTTCTTGAAGGTTGTGAGACTGGGAGTTCTCCCAATTTTGTGCTGGGGAATAAGTTTTAGATTAGGTAAACTCTCCATAAAAAATTCTATTTTTGAAACACTACCCATGCCAATCACTTCCCACATATCAATAACCCTTTGGAGCCAGAGAGCTTTTGACAAAATCCCTCACAAAACTGCAGTGTTATAAGACAGAGCTTTATTACAAATAATAACTGATTAAAAGATTACAAAGCTCAGTTCAAATATTACAACAGACAAATGTAAACAATGTCCATGCATTTATATTGTCCTTCCCTAGCCATGAAAGCCATCTGGAAAACTCTGGGCCAGTCTAACCCAATCAACCCACCTCACAGGGTTGTTGTGGGGAAAATAGGAGAAGGAAGATGTCATTGATTATATGTACACTGCCTTGCTTTGCTCTTAAAATTAATAAAGGTGGGACATACATACATATGGTACATACTGTAACATCATTCTCAATTTTCTATGCTCCTCAGTACAGCTACTTGAATGTAGCCACTGGGAGGTGCTGCTGTACCACTTTTGTTGGATCAGGACTAGTAATCTCTTAAGAGTTTAGTTAAACAGATTTTCTATTATAGAAAGCTTAAAGAGTTTTTATAATCTGGATGCTAACAGATCATTCTCAGAAT